TGCTCTTGGGATGTTTTGAGGGGAGGTGGGAAGTGGTTGTTTTTAACTATGTTGGCTGTTAATCTAATGGAGAGAGTGCACTTTATTGCAGAGAATATGCAAAGCTGGATATTGCCATACACTGCTGCATTGGATCATGCAACCTGCAGGTTTTCCACAGGACTGTTAAGTCTCTGCACATAATCCCAGCTGTAATATTTCAGTGTTGGATTAATGATGTTTAAAAAAATTAAGCAGTCCTCTTGTTTGCAGGACATATTTTAGCACTTTATACATGGAGTGGCTGGATGATTGCATCTGGATCCCAAGAYAAGACTGTAAGATTCTGGGATTTGAGAGTGCCAAGCTGTGTTCGTGTTGTGGGAACAACATTTCATGGAACAGGCAAGACTTGCTATCATRCTTCTAATCATCCTGGCATAGAAATAGATTTTGAAGATGTCAGGGTCATATAGAGAGAGTGGGGGCAGGGGGGCAGGTGGCACAGAAAGAAGGCTTTGCTTAAAGAAAGTACCTGTGAAAGATATATACCTGTAAGTTGGTTTGCCTCTTGTAAAGTAATACTTCTTTCTGAGGATAGAGGTAGTGTTTTTGCCTTACAGCTTTCAAACAAACACTTTCAAAGGCATTTAAATACAGCAAACTAACTGAAGTCCTTGAAACTTTAGGGCCAGGGTGAATTCCTTGCAGTATTCCTTATTATTTCATAAGAGTGACTTTCTTCCTTGTGATGGAAAGATACTTTTCTCATGCAGCTTTAATAGGTCTTTGCTATGATTCCAATGTACCTATGTCTTCAGTTTTTAGCACTGAAACATAGAAGCTTTCTTATTGTTAGGTAACAGTAGCTAGGTTATTGAACTTGAACAGTTCAAGTTCAATTTCAGGTGTTCACCTTTTGCTGTTCTTTTACAATGTATATTCCTGTGTAAAAAATAAAGTTGGCTATTTGCACAAAGGTGTCTAAGGTGTCTGAGGTTTCTGTCCCCCTGCAGGAAGTGCTGTAGCCTCAGTGGCAGTGGATCCCAGTGGCAGGCTGCTGGCCACAGGCCAGGAGGACTCGAGCTGCATGCTGTACGACATCCGTGGGGGCAGGATGGTGCAGAGCTACCACCCCCACGCCAGCGATGTCCGCTCCGTGCGCTTCTCCCCGGGCGCGCACTACCTGCTCACCGGCTCCTACGACATGAAAATCAAGGTGACAGACTTGCAAGGTAATGCAGCAAAGTGTCATGGGTCAACTTCCCATTTGATGCTTTTAATGTTGGAGTTGAGAACTTGGCTCAAAGATCAGGTTTTACTTTGAAAGAGGAGAAAGAGTAGAGCTTTGAAAGGCTGGGCATTTATATCTGTGATTGCATCTGTTGGAAATTGGCTACTTGTGTTGCTCAAAGTGTAGGCAGTGAACTGAATCTTGTTTTGGGATGAGGGTATCATTACAGTAAATCCACTGATTAACACTGTTGCCTGGTGAGATGGCYATTGCTTTCAGACAGCATTCATAAAACTGACCCTTGGGAAAAAAATCCTAAAAAGGTATAATAATCCTTATTTTTATTGGGATGAGTTAAAAAGAGAGAAGATATTGGGTTTGTCTGATTGACTTGACTTTCTTGAACCTTTAAATTTTAATCATCTTGTGTAAAAATGGTGGAGATCTGTATTTTTAAGTTGTATTGTGTCTGGTGATGCCTAAAAACTGAAACACTGGGGCCTTATGTTATGCTSYGTGTGTGTGTGAGAGAGAGAAAGGGGGGGTCAAGTATGCTTMGTAAGGTGAAATACAGAGGTAAGCTTTAATAAGCAAACTGGTTAAAAAAAAAATCAAAAAACCTCCTGCTTCCCCAGGGCTGGGATATAAATTCATGACATGACTAATGCTTTCTGTTCCTCTTCCACAGGTGACCTGACAAAGCAGCTTCCTCTGATGGTGGTAGGGGAGCACAAGGACAAAGTTATTCAGTGCAGATGGCACACACAAGATCTTTCCTTCTTGTCATCTTCTGCAGACAGAACTGTAACCCTTTGGACCTACAATGGTTAGCGTGCAAACAAAGGCAACCTATGCAGCTAAAGCACAGAGACCTGAGACTACAGAACTGTCAAAACAAGTAATAATAATGAGGCTTTGAGAGAGCAGCAGTTGAGCAGGAGAGTGTCCTGTCAAGAGGAGGGGCACTTGTCACTGATTTTTCTGGTTTCTAGGAGGTCTTGGTGTTTTTAGTATATTCTTTTGCAGTGCTTCCAGTCTTCCATGTTGAACTCATGCTGCTGTGACCTATTGTAGTCTTGTTGCCAAAGTCTATGAGGAGAACTCTTCTGTTGTTGATGTGCACTCAAAGTAACATGAATGATGTGTTTACAGTTTGGTATTAATTGCATTCCTTGTTCTTTGCCTCAATGAGAATTTTGTATAGAAACTTAAGTTGAGGAACACTTTAATCAAGTCTGTATGTAGTTACAACACACATAAAAGAAAAACTACTTCCACTGTTTTTTCAGGTTTGTTGTACTCATTACTTTCAAACAAGAGCTCAGACTTTATAACATCTCCACAATTTCAACATTTTTAGTAAAAAAMCCCTGAACTTTAAAGGTTGACTAGGTAGTAACCACTTTTTGATTATGGTCCATTATATAGTGGGGGKTTTTCTTTCTTTTCATCTAACCCGGGAAAAATGTTGCTGATTTTACTACATCACATTGTTTTGAACAAGCTAACATGTTGGAGGGGAAAAAGTAAAATATTGACTTTTTTCAGTAGAAACATGTAATATTTTACTTTTTGAATGCAACAGAATACCTCTGTGTATAATGTACTGTAGAAAAGAGTGGATTGGCAGCAGTTKTCACAGTGAGCTTAATGGCTATCAATTTTTCAAGTAAAAGGGATACCATTAATGCTGTAATAGAAACCAGCATGGCTTTAAATGCTATGTCTGCATGATAATTTAAGAATYGTTTCAATTCCCAGTTCAGAAGCTTATTTGAATTTTATTTCTTGCACTCTTTATGTATGGGAAATTGCAGTTTTATTTCTACAAAACTTTAGATTCTAATGTTTATGTATTGTTATATTTTCATATTGTACAGTTCCTTTTACTTTTTAAAATATAAACCTGAAAATTTAGGTTATTTATTTATTTGAACTGCAGTTAAGTTTTGGATTCTCTCGGTTACTAAATTATATGTGCACTGTAGCAAGCGTTTTTAACTATCGTATAAAAGTGGAAAGGTAACTATAGAAGTGTATCTGTGCTATAATCTCAATAAAGACCTCCAACACCTGCACTTGTTTCATCTGTTATTTTTGGATTCATGTTTTATAATTCCTCACTCCAACTGTGATACAACRTATGATTTAAGTATTCTGAGCTATAAAATACTTAAGAGCTTTGATAGTACGTCCAAGTATTGGAATTTGCAGTGTGGTAAATAATAATACACGGGCACAGAGCTGAAAATCATGGTTTTTTTTTCCTTTATTAGATACATATTGATAGATACAATAGATGCATTTGATACATAGATACCTGCTCTGGAGGTAAAAGAGTGTTCCTCTCCTTGTCTCTCTGTGGTTAAAGCTGGCAGGCTGTGGTAATTAGTGTATCTATGCGAATAGTGATTTCCTGACGTTAATTTTGTACCAAGTTGTGTCTCTACAGAGCGGTTCTGGTTTCACATCCCTGCCTCTGGTGCCTGAGCTGGCATTTTTTAGCACGGTCCGTCTGTGAGTGGGTCCGCGGCTGAAGCTGCCTGTCCCAGCGGGCGGGGACGGGGCTCGGGGCGGGGCCGCTGCTCCTGCGGGCGGGGCTCCAGAGCCAAACGGCGCCTCAGGGCCGGGGCGGTGCCGCCGCTGCTCCGCGGCGCGGCGCTTCCCGGGCGGAGCGGCCCCCGCCGGGTAAACACGCTGGATGAACACCGGGAGCCCTGCGGCCCTTCAGGTACCGCGGGCGGCGAGCGGGGCTGCGGCGGGGCGGTGTCGCTGGCCGGGGCCTGCGCGGTGTGCGGGCCCGGGGCGCGGGGAGGGGCTGAGGGAGGGCTGCGCGGCTCGGTGAGCGCGGTGTGCGGGCCGGGGGAGCGGGGAGGG